TAAAATTCATAAAAGATTCAACGTTAATTACCGAAGATGGCTCCGGCTGGAAATCCGGTTTTTATATCTACGAGAGAGCACGCGATATTTCCGAAGCTGCGCGAGAAAGTTTCCTCCACGGTACAACATCCTTGTCAGCCGTCTTCGTTTTCCGGGGCAAAACGGGAAGCCGAGCGAGACGCTCGGCATCGGCCCAAGTTGATGGTAACAGGTTGCGACGTCCGGGCGTTTCTCAAAAACTGCCAAAAAGTCGAGGCAACAAGGGTCGACAGGTGAAGGAACGCGGACAATGAGAAATTCCGGCGCCGTGAGAAGGGAGAGACGGGTCGGGCAACGATGCATTATTTAAATTTTAAAAGCGTTTCGCAGTGCCGGCTTAATTCGACGTCTAGTTAGCTCATCCCTCGGTTGTCGTGCGTGGACGACAAACAACCATCGAAATCGCATACGAGAGAGTTTCATTCCTCCCCTCCACTGCATCGTTGCACTACGGGAGAGAATTATTTACATGAAAAGGCATTTATGTTTATTGTAACTGATAAGAATGGAAAATGGATGGATAATATTATAATAGGATACTAGAGTTATTATGCATAAGAAAGAAACTGGGAAGCGGTATTAAAACTATGATGTCGATCAATTCCATGATATAAAAATTTGATTTTTAGCTGAATTTCAAACTTTTGTTTCTTTCATTCTTTTAAATTTGCATGAATATCTGCAGTATATTTATTGGAATGTTATAATTTTCTTAGCAATCATTTAAATGAAATATTAAATTTTATATACAGCTTGAATTAAACTGACTTTTATATAAATACTTTTTGTTACAAGTTTTTATTTAATTATGCAGATGTTTTAATGTCACTTAGTGGGATAAATGAATTTGGAAATTGCATTAATGTGATTAGATATAACCAGACATTGAATGGTTCAAGAATAGAAATAGCATTTGAAATGATTTTAAATTCTGTTCAAATCTTAATAATCGTATTGAAAAAAATTAAAAGAGTGAAACTTATTTTAGAGAAAAGATACCTACTGTGTTGTTTAATGGGGACGTGTGTATACAGCTATTAGCAGTTATATTTTTACGATTTTCGCGATGCAAAGTGTCCCGTCTCTTTAAATTTCTCGGCAGTCCTGATGATCTGTCGTTCCCCGAAACTCGTGGAAGTGTAATCCCTTGATAATACTCTGACAGAGAGATACCTTGAAACACAAAGCTTCGTATCATAGAATATACTATCAAATCTTAAATCTTTATAACGTACGTTTCATTCAAATTTACATGAATTACATCGTCGTGATATAATTTAACGTAATACTTGTAATAATTGAAAAATATAAAGGCCAAGTTTTTTACATTTTTTACATTTTCTTTTCTCTTTTTTTTTTTTTTTTTTT